GAGTTCTGCGGAAGAGAGATTAGATGCCGTGAATAGGTGGGAATTCCGAGGCTCGTCCCAGACCGGCGAGTGACGGTTGAAGTCGCCGAGCCATATAACGTGGGTCCTTCCCCGATTTCTATTGCTCTTCATGTGCTTCTTGGTCTCCGTTGCAAGTAGATGCAGGGTGTCAGAGTGTTTCTGGTCATTGTATATGTTGTACATATACAGGGTGTCAGTGTCAGTGGTGACGCGGATAGCAGTTAGATCGTTAGACAAAACAGGTATAGGCTCCCAGGTGTTGGAAGACATAGTCTGATTATTTACCAGGAGAATTGATCGCGCGGGCTTGTCTCCGTCTTTGTGACCGGGCGGGTAGACTACTGTCCAGTAGCGGCCGGCGCGGGTGTTTCGAAGGTGGTCGATGTAGGGTTCTTGAAGAGCTAGAATATCGATTGTTGTCGGGTGTAGGTTATTGAGCAGGTCGAGCTGCGCTATTGGGGATGTGTTTAAGTTTTGCTGCCAAACACGAAGCCTGCCTTCTGCGGACGGCACATCAGGGAGGGCAAAACGGTCGCCAGGCATTAGGTCAATGAGGAGGTGTGGGGCACACTGTCAGTATCATTCCGACGCATGGGAGATCGTCGACGGCTGCGGTCACCCCAGCCATTGTCGCGCGGCCGGCTGTCGGCCGTGGAGTAGTGATCAAGGGTAGTTTGACGTGTTCGGCCGGTCTCCGCTGCAGCTGCCGCAGCACGCGCTCTCTGTGATGGGCGAGTCGAAGGTGGAATGTCCGGGTGTAGTTGCGGGTTGTTTCGTGAGGCCGTCGAGGGATGTGGTTGGCTGTTCATTGTAGCAGACTCGGGAGGACGTTCGGGGTCGGTAGTTGGCGTGTACACCTGTTCAGACTCATGCGGCTTTATGTCAGCACTGGGTTCCCAGGTGCGAGGATCAGAGGTAGGGTAATAGCGGTACTCATCCTCCGGTCGGTTCCGAGCAAAGTTGGCATACTTCGCTCGGAAGGTGGGGCACGCACGGTCCCATGCACCATGTCCCGCCATCTCGCAATTTACGCAGAACCGGTCTTCACGGGATTGCACCATGCAGTCGGCTGTGCGGTGCTCTTTACCGCATGTTCCACAAGTGTCTCGCTCGTTCGGGCATTCAGCTGCGAGGTGGTTCGATCCTATCATATGGCATCGCAGGCAGCGCCTCGGTTCAGGGAGTAATTTGCGGGCGTAGACCCGTTTACCTTCGACGATCAGTCCATCTCGTATGACCATGTTGGCGTCGTCGGGAGAGCCAAACGACATGAATAAGTGCGCGACAGCTTGGAAGGGACGTCGTCGGTTGATGGGCTTGAGCCAACGCGTGGCTTGAATGGCGTGTGTTGGAAGCGCGGCGTCAGTTTCAATTTTTCGTACCTCGTGCTCGCTAGTGGGGTCGAAATCAGTAGAGACGAATTCAATGATGATCGGATACTTGTTGCTTTTAGCAACACTGTTCCCGCCATCGTAAAAGGAGAGGAATCGGGGCATGACGTCCGGTTCACGGAGCCAAGTCGCAGCTTCAATGGAGTTCATTTCGAATATGACACCCCCATTCTTCAGTCGTCGCGCGCTTCGGAAGGTGACACCGCCCGCTGGGGCCTTGGCACTTTCCTCACCCATCTGTTCCATGGCAATGCTCGCCTTCATGATTAGTTCACGTTCACTGAGAGCTTGGCTCCCTTCTCCGGTAGCCTGGGGATCACGGTCAATGAGTACCTGACGTTGTCGTGCATCACCTCTTGCCACTACACGTGTGTGTGCGGCTGGAACATTGCGCCGGGCTGCTGCAGCATAGGTGAGTAGTTCCCTATCAGCTGCTGTCATGCCCCCTGGTCCTCCGGACGAGGAACACGTCGCACCCGCTCCGGGTTGTGCGCTCAGTTGTATCTCTTTCTGAGCTTGCCGCGAGGCTTCTGCGAGCGCTTCCACGCCCTTCTCTATCTCCCCCCTAATATTCTTTCGATACTGTTCAAGGTCACGCACCTGCTCCTTCGCCCGGTTCACACATCCTTCCAGCTCGATTCGAGTTTGCTCTAGTTTGTCAATTCCATCATCAAGTATGTTATAGGCCGCCATGGTCTTGTGGCATACTTGATTTGCCACTTCCGAGGTGATCAGTTCCATGTCGACAGCGTCAGCAATTCGAGAGAATGCGACAAGGCATTCCACAGTGGTCGCAGCGGGAGCAGCCGCGCGAGCGAGGTGCAATAGGCCGTCTCGTATTATTAGCAGGCTCATTGATTGCCCACCCGGAATTAGTTCCTTGGACTCAAGAAGCTCAATAGCCCTCTCAACACTGTCGACTTTTTCAATAGCCGTACTGTACGCAGCATCGCTGTTGCCCGTCATTGGGGTGCTGTTTCGCGTCGTGCGTCGCGTTTGCGGGCCTCCTGGCGGTGGCTTGCCGCTAGTTGATGCCATAGATAATATTACTTCTGTCGTTGAAGTAGTGTAGACTCTAGTACTAGTTGATATACGAGCCGCACGTCTGCTTTTCCCGCTCCTATGGGTGCAGACCGTGGGAAAGTTGCCGGAGATGGTAGTCTAAAGCAAGAAGGAGCCACC